AAACCTGGCAGCAATGATTTTTCAGAAAAAATTAGATTTTTGAGGGCCAAGATGGCAGTTTCTGGAAAAATACAAAGAATAAACCCCCTCAAAATTGGGTTTTCTATGTGACTCGCGAGGAAAAATGAAAAAATGCATTTTGAAATACCCGAAATTCTCCTAGAACAGAATAGGGTAAAACTCCCTAAAAATGCTACTTAGAGTCTTTGTTTCATCAAGGATGGTTTTGTTTGTCAAAGTGAGCATGCAAGCATATGTAATGTGATAAAATAAATGTGTTGCAATGGCCTATGGCCTCATGGTATGTCATATGCAAAATAGAACCCTTCAATGCATTAATCTACATATCTTCAATAGGCAACAATGAAGTTCAAAGTTAGCATACATTTCACATAAGTGTCTTTGGCCCTTGGCCTCATTACAACCACATTCTAAGAGTGTCAAAAGGTGCACTTAAGTGCACATTACATAACTTAGACAATAAGTACAAGTTTTATCAAAGTAAGCAAAAGTATGACAAGATATGCTAACATATGCATATTCTATGTCATCGAAATATACTTCAAGAACTCTAGTGAGTCTAAGAATGTTGTGCATCCCACACTAAGGCTTCTTTACCTGCAAAACACCCATTAACTTAGGGGTGAGTAAACAAGTTTACTCGTAGGGAATGTATGGGTTTATCTTTGTACCAAGTTACAATCTAATACCATTTAATTCATGCTATCAAGTGACAATAGAACTTTCAACTTAACACAATGAGATGTAATTTTACAAAGTTAACAACTTGAAATTTAAATGCAAAATCAAACCAAAGTGGATACTTGGACGTCACGCCGGTCCAAACCGACAATGTGGTTACTTTAGGGTTACTAGCCCATGGGTAACCTCCCTATGTGCGCACTAGACTTGTAGAGGGACTTTCTCCCGTACTAGAACCATGCCCTAGCCATAGTCATAACAACGACATCCCCAAGTTTCCAAAATCAACATTTTGTGCACATTACATATATGTATCAACATAACATATAAATATACAATGTAAAGCCATCAACATGCACAAATCAATTTTGGAAACACAATACATGCCCTAAGTTCTCAACTAAAATGGCATGAAGAATATTGAATGATTATTATGCAATTTGCCACTAATTACAACAATATCATTCAACAACAAGAACATAACCTCAAAAGTATGATATAAGTTTAAAATCATAATTTAAACAATTTAATAAACAACTAAATTCCCTAGATTTCACTTCTCATCCAAACATGCTCAATTTAATATATGTTGTAGTACATGTCATGGTTATTATATAAATCACTTCAAAACTTGATTTAAGTCATGGGAGCATATAAATAAAAATTAATTAAATTAATTCATTAATCCCTCTAGATTTTAAAACAACTTTAAATGACCTCAAATTAACATAAGTTATGAATCAAGCCATGGTCATGCTATTTATCAAGTCTAAAGTGATTACATACAAGTCACAATTAATCATTTATTTCTCATTTTAATACAAGACAAACATATAACTTAGATATCACTATAGGAACAAATAAAATCACTTGGAAGATAAATGATAACATCCTCTACCTCAATAGAGAATTGAATCTCTATAATCCAAGCAACCAATCTCAAAATGGAAAATAAGTTTAGGGTTAATGAAGAGGGGAGTGAGAGGAAGCTTTTGTCTTCCAAGGTTTTATGTCTAAGGTGAGTGGAAGGAGGCCAAAATGAAGAAAAAACTATTAACCAAGCTTTTCTCCAATGGTGGCTAGGTTATGGTTCTTGAAGACAAGTGAAAATGAAAATGATAAAGTGTAAAATGGTAAGTGGAAGGGTTAGAAATCCTCCACTCACTATGTGCTATTACACCACCTCTCTCATACACATAATGTAAGACTAAATGGTGAACTTACACTTGTCATGAATCTATGGTTCATTCCTAAACTTAATCTCAAGCCTACACTTGTCACCATCCTATGTAAACTTCCAAGACTTAATATTGAACCTACATTTGTCAACCATCCATGCCAACAAGTGTACCAATCATAGGCCAACAAGTGGGTGAATCTCCACCCTCCACATGTCATCATCCAAGGCATCAAAGTGTTTCTATACAAATGTCAACAAGTGGACCAATGAGAGTGTGACACTTGTCACACTTTCCGAAAATTGCAAACAAGTCCTTTTTGAAAATATCTTCCAAATTAAATTGCAAAATGGTCCCTAAGACGAAAAATAATTACTTTACTTAATTACCCAAAAACCCCTCAAGTTATGGATAATTACAAAAAATCTTGTTTTCATGGCTTTTACAAAGAAAGTAAGCATTTAATATGCATTTCTACAAAAGTAAAAATGTAAATGTCATGGAATTTAAATACCATGAATGCATGCAAAACCGGAATCAAATTCGAGCACAACAAGTAAGGTTATGTAAGGAAAAACGAAAGAAACAGGAAAAAGACGAAATAGGGAAAAGACAAAATAGGAAAAAGATGAAAAAAGAAAATCGCCAAAAATGGAAAAGGAGGAAAAAAGCCGGGTCATTACATTTAATTAAAATCTTTAGGTTTTAAAACTCATCCAAATATTTTCAATTTAATATATGTCAAAGAACATGTCATGGTCTAATTTAATATCTTGTCGCAAGTTAATTCCTCTCTAAGTACAACTATGTGAATTAAATTTCATACAAAGAAAATAATTAAATGAAGATTTCAAAACTCATCCAAATATTCTCAAATTAATATATATTAAAGAACATGTCAAGGCCCAATTTAATATCATATCACAAGTTAATTTCATACTAGATACAACCATGTGAATTGAATGTCATACAAAGAAAATAATTAAATGAAGATTTCAAAAATCATCCAAATATTCTCATATTAATATATGTTAAAGAACATGTCAAGACCTAATTTAATATCATGTTAAAAACATAATCAAATAAGTGGAACTATTAAATAGATTTTAATTAAAATAAAATAATTAAATCTCTAGATTTTAAAACAACTCAAACTGCTTCCAATTTAATATATGCTAAGGAACATATCATGGCCATTACATATATCAAGTCAAAATTTAATTTAAATCAAAATAACATATAAATAAAAATTAATTAAATTAATTAATTAATTTCTCTAGATTTCAAAACAACCCTAAATGACTTTAATACAAGTTATAGATTAAGTTATGGCCTTTAACAATATCATAATTTAACTTAATTTCATACAACATACTACTACCAAAAATTTTATAATCAAGTTAAAGTCATGCATACAAATTATTCTAAGCTACATAAATATTTTAAATTCATAGATTATAAACATAAATCATCCCCTACCTCACAAGAGGATTGTTCCTCTTAAATCCAAGGGAAGCAAATGAATTTATAGATTTCCTTCAAGGATTTTGTAGAGGGAGGTGAGGCAAAGCTTTTCTATTCCAAGCTTTAAGGTCAAATGAGAATAGAAGGAGATCAAAACTAAGGTTTTAAGCCTAGATTAAGTTTTCCTTCAATGGTGGCTAGGTTAGGGTTTGAGAGAAAAGATATAAATTAAAATCAAATCAAATTACCTAAACTAGTTTTAATGTATTCCTCCACTCACTACGTGTTCTTACACTACCTCACACACACACACACTAATACAAAACTAATTTTGGAGCTTACACTTGTTAGTAATCTAAGCATCCATTCTAGGCTTAATCTTAAGCCTATACTTGTCAACCATCCAAGCCAACAAGTGCACCTATCATAGGTCAACAAGTGGATGAATCCTCACCCTCCACATGTTATCATCCAAGGCCCTTACGTGTGAACCAATGAGATGCTTACAAGTGGACCAATTGAAGTGTGACACTATTCACACTTTTTAGAAATTGCAAAAAGGTCATTCTTAAAAATATCTTCCAAATTAAATTGCAAAATGGTCCCTAAGATAGAAATTAATTACAAAATTTAATTACACAAAAACCTCAAAAATCAAGAATGTTTATAATAAATTATGTATTCATACCCTTTACGAAAAAGTAAGCAACTAGTATGCTTTTGTACAAAAGTAAAAATACAAATATCTTGGAAATTAAATATCATGGATGCATGCAAAACCGGAACTAAATCCGAGTACAAAAAGTGAGGTTACACGAAGGAAAACGAAACTTGAAAAAAGACGAAAAAATAAAAATGTCAAAAAAATAAAATGTGAAAATGACGAGGTCTGCACAAGGACGTTGTCAATCCAAAAGAAAGAATTTTGGAAAATATTCCCAAGCACTCCAAACAAGACGAAAACTCGAACTCGAAAAGGAAAAATCAACGAAAAAAAATTATCCGTAAAATTTAAGAAAAAGGAAAGGAAGAAAAATGACGAGGTCATTACAAATTATACTTTTTAAAATTATTTTAAAAGGATTATATATATATATATATATATATATAGAGAGAGAGAGAGAGAGAGAGAGAGAGAGAGAGAGGTGGTGGAGGTTTTGGGTGGGTTTGGTGGTGGTTACTGACATGGTGGCGGCGAAGAGATAGTGTTGGATTTGGTGAGGGGTAATATTGTCATTTCATATTTTATACTATAGGTCCGCAATGAGTCAATGACATAAGAAAATAAAGCCAAGGGTAATTTAGACATTTAGGGTGTTAGAACAAATAAACCAAACCTGGAGTGTGATAGCAATTTTGGTTGAGATTTAACGTGAGAGTAATAAACTCAAATCTCAGAGGTGTAAGAGCATTTAACCCTTTCTTTTTATACAGTTGTGTTTCATACAAAATAATAATAATAATAATAATATTAAAAAAATTTAATAATAATAATAATAATAATAATAATAATAATAATACAGCTTAACAAGAAAATGAGGTATGGATAAAAAATGTTACAACACCTATTTTTTGGCAACATTTTAAAAAAATTAATCCATAATCCCAAAACAGGTACTAGCTCGAACATGCAGTTGAAGTTTCGAGTCCTAAATTTCGTCCCCAAACTTGCAACAATCAACACCACGCAACCACTCAATTGTCATCATCTGCAATTCAGCCGGATCGAGTTCCAGGTGGCCATTGACACGGGTCAAGTCAAACCGCTAAATTAGCTCCATTTATACAACCCAAGTTCACCTAATCCTTAGCCCATAAGGCCCATCGATTCATTAGTTTTAGGTCTCCAGTCTCCCTCCTGCGCCATCTCCGCCGTTGCTTCTAACAGGCCGGTTCTGACTCAGCCGCTCGATCCCTCACAATCGGAGACAAAATCGAAGCTCTCAGGAGACAGAAACAGAGTAACATCGCGAAACCTGCTCCGAATTGGTCAGGTATTTTCATCATTTCATTCATTTTTTGGTAGACTTCTACAAAAATGTCCCTCAGATCTGTTCATTTTCGTTTCATTTCTGTTTCTTTTTGTTTTCCCCTCCGATTGATTATATGCTACTTAGGGTTTCCATTTCGCTCTCTCTCTCTCTCTATATATATGTGATTTGATATTTTGTGTTTGTGGTATAGGGATCGGGAAATAGATGGAGAAAGAATTGGTGGAGTTGTTTGAAGCTGCGAAAAAGGCCGCCGATGGTGCAGCGGTCGATGGAGCTCCGAAAAGTGGGCCCAAAGTCGATCGATGTGTCGACGCACTGAAGCAGCTCAAGAGTTTTCCTGTGAACTATGATGTTCTTGTCTCCACGCAGGTATGGGGTTCAAATTCATTGCTTATTCAATCAAAGTTCTCTCTTTTTCTTGGTCCCTACAAAGTATCTGATGCTCTTTGAGATTATCTGTTATCGGGAATTAAGATTCGAATAAAAATTATTGTCTTTGTTAGAAATTGCTGAAGATGATATTTTTCATTTTTTTTTTTTTTTTTTTTTTTGGGATAAAATAAAATAAAAACAAATAAAATATCCTTTTTTCCGTTAAAAAAAATTTTATGTCGCAAATTGGTTTTTTCTATTATCAAATATAGAAACAAATATTTTCTATTGCAAATTGGAGTACATTTGTTTCTACATTTGATAATAGAAAAAACCAATTTCCAATTGAAACAAAGAATATATACCTTCCCATTTTGATGTAGGTGTCGTGTTTGGTTTTAAATAGAGATATACAAAAGCTATTCGGGGAATTAAATATATGTTTAGAGTGCTACTTTTAGTGTGTTGACTATTGTAAAGTAATGTTTGAAAGGGAGTCAGGTGACTAATTATCTACTTCAGGTATTTCTTATTGTCCTGTTTATGGCATCTCTATCATTCTAGAGAAGTATAATACTCTGTTGCCCAAGGTTTTAGGTAATGGTAGTGGCCTTCATAACAGTATTGTTCAACGGTGTAACCTAACGGGTGTGAGGTACAGCAGAGTAACCCGGATAATGTAAGTTTTGTGCAGTATATTTATTACTGTAGCATTTATCTTTCGAAAGTTTGGAAGTTCTTGTGAAAAGCAAAGAAATAGGGTTTACATAATGGATGGTAAATTTCATCATAGACCAAAATGGCATTGGCATCTTGTGACACCATATATGACGGTTGTTTCATACTGAAACACTTGTTATCTTAAACCTTGCTTTTGTCAATGAAATTGGGACTTCCCATTTGGTCCCATTTGATTCTACATTCCATTCCATGTAGGGGTGGCATTTCATGTTTGCGGGTCGTAATCGTGTCGTGTCGTGTCGATTTAAGGACATTTTACTAAACAGCTCAACCCGAACACGACCCGTTTAATAATCGTGTCAGAAACCCTCAACACTTACCTGAACTGTTTATTAAACGGGTTATACGTGTAACCCGTTAAATGGCTTGTTTAATAAAATCACATATTTTATTATTTAAATTATTAATAATACTCCATCAAACATTAAATAGTAGAAAAATATAAGTTTCAAACCAACCAAATTACTAAATAATCTCTGATCTACAAAACAATAAATTATAAGATACAAGTTTAGATAGTTATTTTGAAACGTAAATAGAAATTTGCTCATGACACATATAGTTAAACGGGTATAAATGGGTTACACAAGTTGAACCTCTCAACCCAAACATGACACGATTAACTAAACGGGTTAATAGTATCGACCCGTTTATGACCCGAACCCGTTTTAGGTCAACCCAAGCCCATTTAACTCGTGTCGTGTTGGCGGGTCGTGCCAAACGTTGCCACCCCTAATTCCACTTCCACGGTGTGCCCACTGATTATTAATATGCATAAGCTGTGTGATCAATGAAGATGAGTTGATTATTCATTTTTTGGGGGTAAAAAGTTGTGTGTTTGTCGTATCAAATATAATTCCAATGATAGTTTTCCGGGTGGCAGGCATGTGTGCAATTATACACTTGTCCTTGACAAAATATAAATGAAAATAGATACCAGAAGGTTCCTGAGTTAAGTTGACTAGTAGGTGGCGAAAGGACCTAAATGTCCACAAAATTATTTCTTTAGCTGATAAAGATGAAGAGCATAATGGTAATTCATAATGCATGCCCCTAATTTTCTCCCTCTTCAACAATATAATTTGCAACATCGAAATTGGGCATAGAATTGTAAGTACTGTATGTCCTTTCATATTGTGTTGTATTTGTATCCCATATCCGTGATATTTCTTTAATATATATATGTTAATAATCCTATAGAGATATGGCAGTGAAGTATGAGTCATTGTTTCTTACTCTTCTTAATATTGCTTGGTGCTCTCTCTCTCTCTCTGTATAAGAATTAAAATGAGAATGTTGTTAGGCTTTTTACTCATTTCAACAAAGCCTTAATCCTTAATGCTTGCAGTTGGCTCATTAACTTGGTAGAATTTTTTCCCCTAGATTATTCTATTTTATTAATTCATTCTTCTCAGTTTCTGTGTTGAAAGCTTATTTTTCCCAATGGAGTTCAAAATTTGATCTGAAAATTCCAGGTTGCAAAACGACTTCGTCATCTAACAAAGCATCCTGTGGAACAGATTCAGACCATGGCTTCTGATGTGGTCGAAATTTGGAAAAAGATAGTCATTGATGAAACACTTAAAAAGAAAAATGGTGGCCTAGATAAGTCCCCGTCAGTAAAGGTAGAGACTGTCAAAGTTGAGGAGATTCATAAGTCCGGGTCGATAAAGGTTGAAAAGATTTCGAAGTCTGGAAGTTTCAAAATTGAGAAAGTTGATAAAGGTGATTTTACAAATTCTGGGAGTGTTTCTAGGACAGAAACTGTTAAGGTTGCAAAGAAAGTGGGAATTATGGATGATGTGAAGGCTGAGAAGGTTTATGTGAAGGATGAAAAGATACCAAAGGTGGAGAAACAAGCTTCTAGCATGAAGAAATCATCTCAAGAACCTAATGCTCCCCCAAAGCTGACTTCATTGATCAAATGTGGTGATGGTATGCGTGACAAAATTCGAGAGCTTCTTATAGAGGCGTTGTCTAAAGTTTCGAGCGAGGCTGATGAGGACTACAAGGATGATTTAAATGCATCTGACCCATTTCGAGTTGCTGTAGCTGTAGAGTCCGCAATGTTCGAGAAAATGGGTCGGTCAAACGGTCCCCAGAAGGTCAAGTACAGATCTATAATGTTCAACATAAAGGATCCAAACAACCCTGATTTGAGGCGAAAATTGCTCCTTGGACAGGTCAAGCCAGAGAGATTAGTCAATATGAGCCCGGAAGAAATGGCCAGTGATGAAAGGCAACGTGAGAATAGGCAAATCAAAGACAAAGCGTTATTTGAATGCGAGCGCGGTGCTGCACCAGAAGCCACAACTGATCAGTTCAAGTGTGGTCGTTGTCAGAAGCGCATGTGTACTTACTATCAACTGCAGACCAGGAGTGCAGATGAACCAATGACAACCTTTGTAACGTGTGTAAACTGCAACAACCATTGGAAGTTTTGCTAGAGGGGATTTTCTGTTGAATATTCAGTCATATGGATTAGGTGCATGGCTATGCCATGAAGTTCCAGCATTCTCGAGCAAGATTCAACATTGATTCTTGTGACATTTGATGTTCTGAAAATATCCATCTATGCAAATTTATTTTCTGTAGGAGCCTTTTATCTGGCATTTGTTGAGGTGTTTAGACTTTAGATGTAGTGTTTATGCCAAAGACTGGCAAACGTGTTTTTTCAATAAGTTAATAGGTTTTCTCTTGATTGTTTTTCTAATTTTAGGTTGTACCAGTTATGTACTAGTTATGAAGAACTTATTTTAGGGAAGTCTATATAATTTATCTTGGACTAGGAGGATGGCTGTTTTAACCCCTGTGCTGCCAGAATGTTTGGGATATTTTTGTTGTGCTACATTATGTGTAGTTGACTATTATTTTTAGCAGCCAGAATGTTAGGGATATCTTTGTGGTGTTGGATTACGTGTATCAAGTATCAACCAATGTTATGAATGGTGATTGTTCATTTTTATTATATTTTATTGTTGTTTTGGTGAGTAGTCATGCATCGTTGTTGTTGTATTATTATTGACAATACTTGCCGGATCATGTTCTCTTACAAAATGGAGAAAGTAATAATAAATAAGAAAAATTATCTTTTTAGAAATTAATTTAGTTGTTTTTATGTTTTCTTTATTTATTATTATTATTTTTTTATTTTATCATTGTGCATTTGTTTTGTAAATGGATCCAATCAGTATCTCAGATCATAGACAGGTTATTTGCTCTGTTTGTTTTGTTTTGTAATTCATTGGTGAGTAGATACGATTTGTCCTATTATTATTATTATTATTATTATTATTATATTTTTTTTCAGTTACAGTAATATAAAAAGATAATAGTTGATGATATTTTATTTCTTTGTTTTAATGATGGAATTGTTATTTTGAAGTGTTATATATTGTGATTTGATGTAAAATGTAAAGTCCAACCAAATCTATTTTCAGTCCAAACTTTTCAAACTCAAAACACATTTATTTTTGAAAAAAAGACCAAGATATGAGGAGAATGAGATTTCTATCTAAAAATTGGATTGGTAATTTATACTTAAATTCGCGTTGCATATAGATTAAGAGATACTCAATATAAAGTCCGTCCAACTAAAATTAAATTTGAGGTAATTTCTTTTTAAACAAATTAATCCCAAAGTCTTAAAAATTGCTTGCCAAATTGGTAAAAAAATCTAATTCAAGTAAGTGTCTAGTTTGATTTACTAGTAATATTCCAATAAATTGAGAGGCACTTGACTAAGAATGTCAATTAGGTAAAGGTACAATAATAAAGAGGCAGTAAATATTCAATTGGGCGCCTAGCAATCCAAAAGTGGAGTCCAAAAAGCATATTCTAAGTTCTAACGAGTTGTCCACGATTGGGAAACTTTTCCATTAGTTGCAAGCTATCCGATGAGCCATTAGGATGTCGCCACGCGTCAAATTTGAGCATCAATTCAAGAATATTTCTCTTTTGTGCGTTGTGATGTTATAGGCGGCGACGCGAGGCATTCCTTGGATTAGTTAATACAGACAGGCAGACGTCCTCCAAAACTAAAAGAACTCTGCTTCGCCTCCTCCTCCGCCTCTGCAAACTCCCAAAGGTAGATTCACTCTCTCCTCACTTTTCATCTCTATATTGTACGATCTCTGTTCTTTATATATGTGTATATATATATGTATATATATATATATGTTTTTTTAAAGGATTGTTGACTCTGTATTCGTGATCTGTTTGGTTAGCGGGAAATCGAAGGAAAAGAAAAGGATCTGGGTTTTTTGTAATTGAAAAAAAGATACAAAATTCGGAGGCATTAATGTTGTTTAACGTGATTTGGTTCTCCTTATTGTTCCTGATGATCCTATTGTGTCGAGAAATCTAAAGTTGTATTTTCCGGTAAAAAAAGAAGGAGAAATCTAACGTTGTATTGAATGTTCTATGGTTTCTTATTATATTCAGTCTGGATTTTCGAAGATTGAGCTTTAATGTTCTGGGGGGTGTGTTTTTTTATTTAATTTAATTAATTTTTTTTTTTATATTTTAAATCTATTAGATTCAGATGTAAGTTTGTTACAATTGAGCATGATATAATGAATATGTGTGAAAAGAACTGCAAGGTTGTCCTTTTAAGGGTTTTGGACCCCTTGGTTTTTTTCTTTTCTGGGGATATAAATCTAAATCTGTTTGCATGCAATAATAGTTGGCAAAGAATGACATATAGAACGTTAAGTTTAAGTTCATGGGATTTATCTACAAACAAATAATATTGATTTTTATTCATTATTAGGGTTTGGTTGGACATTAACATACCTGATTTCTGAAATCTAAGGCCTACTTATAACATGATTTTGGACTTTTTGTTGAAATTCTCTTTCCCACTTTTTTTCTGTTCATACTATATTCTTTCCTTTTGGGATTTTTAGTAAGTTCAGTTCGCTGGATTTGTGAACCTAGTTTTTATCATCATTGCCATTACTTATCAGGGAAAAAAAAAAAAAAAAAAAAAAAAAATTGAACTCCATCATTGCCATCATCCTTGCCTTTCATTCCATATGGATGGGTTAGCCACATGAATTCTCTTTTTTCAATTCTTTCCTGTCATACACCAGGTCTCCTCTAATATTTGTGAAACTAGTTTTTATGTACACTCTAAACTCCACTTCTTGTTTGTTTTATTTTCCCCTTTTTTGGTTGAATGTTGAGTTCCCCTCCAAGTTGTTTAACAATTTCTTTTTATTGTTTGAGGCATTACGACAAGGTATTCATGCAATAGTTTTAATAAAAATTTGGGGTACATTGCAAGAACCCCTGATATAGCGAAAAACTCCCCAAAATAGTAATAATCTGCAAAAGAGTTAAATGAATCATCCATGTCACCAATAGTTGCCTTTTCTTTTCTTCCTTTCTTGGCAATCAAACTCAGGATCATTGTTGTGTTTATGGATTTTCCCAATATATTTATAATGGCCTTGATTTGTTGAACCAGATTTTTTTTGTGTTTCTTTGTCTTTATTGCTTTAGATACACTGCTCCTAAGTTCTGCTTTATGCAGTTATTTTTCAAACTATTTTCTTTTCACTTTGGTTAATCATATTTTTTGCAATTCTTTGACCCAGAGGGTTGTGTGTGTGTTAGGATTTCAAAATGATGAAAAAGAATGGATAGATTGCAAAACTATATTAGTTTGATTATGCATGTATTGGGATTTGGGTGGAATCATAGAAATTTTAATTCTTTTATTCAACAACAGAAAGGTAAACTAACTTACCGTTGAAAAAAAGAAAGATATACTAGCAATCTCACGTTGTCATGGCTTTAATTGCAGCTTTCTGATAGTTTAAGGTCTTTTCTCAGGTCTACAGTAGGGGTTTTCACAATTTATCCTAAGAAGAGAAAAGTAAAACAGTACATGTCTCTAGCCATCACTGATAAATGCTACTTCAGTGACCAGTTCTACTTACCAGTATCATTCCGTTGCATCTCCCAAATGGGCAAATTTGATTTCTGACATGTCTAAGAATTTCATATCCATCTGCATGTAAATGTCTTACAAAGTGTTGCTAATTTTTTATATTCTTATATGTATATATATATTTGTATGAGAATCTTATATGCATGTTCAGGCCAGTATGGGTATCCATCATGAAATTAAGTGTACATAGTAGACTTATAGCTAGTCCTATTATTGTGGAGATGCTTCCTTATTTTTATATACTGTTGAATCTTGTTTTCACTTCTTGGTCATGGAAAGTCTTATTATTGTGGAGAAGCTTACTAATTATTATTATTATTATTTTTTTTATCTTTTTCTGTAATGTAATCTTGTTTGGTTAGTCATTTATTAACCCACTTGTCAAACTATTTTCTATTGACCTTGAATAACAGATTTGACAGCCGTAACTTCATGAATTCAAGAACTACTGTGGTATCCGTGGTTTCCTGTAAATCGGGAAACAAGGACGATTTCTTCTGCTGGATTTTGGTCTGCCTATTGTCAAAGTTCTTCAAAACTCCCACTGCATACGTGAACTTATTTTTGATTGAGGCTCCTTCAGCAGTATACGAGTCCTTTGTAGAGACTCATCCATAGAAGTGACTGAATTTTGACCATCTGCTTCCCTTTAATCAATATTTGCATCATGGTGTCTTCTCAGCTGCCTGCTATGGCCAAAACTCACATGTGCAAATCCTTTCACAACCAGTTACTTTTCCCTATGAGCCCTCCTGATGTTGTTCCCTCAGATCACATTGAGTTAGATTTCTCTGATGTATTTGGTCCTCTACCAGTTCAAGTTTCAACGGAAGATAATAACGTGAATTCTGGAGATTCAGTGTTTGCAGCAGATATGAGTGATCTCATCTATGATGATCCAGTGGTCATTTACAGTCAATCACATTCGTTGGTTGGCCCCTCTGCTTGTGTTAGTCTTTCGTTGAAACTGAACAAGCTCATCATACATGAGACACAGGATTCAATGGAACTTGTAGAGTGTGTTCAGGAAGAGACAATTGAAGAACTTAGCGAATCCTCCACTGATGTTTCTGTTTTTGAGGAACCTGTTGTATCTATTGATGATGATTCCATGAAGGTGCAGAGCATGGGCCTTGAAGATTTTGAGGTCATGAAGGTTGTTGGACAGGGAGCATTCGGGAAAGTGTTTCAGGTGAGGAAGAGGGGCACATCAGAAATATATGCCATGAAGGTCATGCGCAAGGATAAGATTATGGAGAAGAATCATGCTGAATACATGAAAGCAGAGAGGGATATTTTGACAAAGATTGATCATCCCTTTATTATCCAGCTCAGATATTCTTTCCAAGTAATTTTTACCTCAATATGAGTTCAATTCTTAACTTATACGATTTTTATTTCCTTTCATTGTTCTCTATTTTCTATCTTTCAATTGAAGTGCTCGAATAAAATCTTTAGAATTTTTAGATTCTTTGTATCTGTGTGAAGTACAAGTGCTTACAGGTTACAAGATCTAGTGATCTGAATTAAATATGAATATTTTGGAACTTTAGTCAATGCATGTAAATAAAATGTGAGTTCTTTTTTACCTGCAGACCAAATATAGACTTTACCTTGTGCTGGATTTCGTGAATGGGGGACACCTGTTCTTTCAGCTCTACCACCATGGCCTTTTCAGGTATCTTTTATCTTTCAGCTTCGGATTTTTATTTTTATTTTTTCTCTCTGAGTACTGGAGATGTGAGGCCGAGTAATCCCATTGTATGTTTCAGGGAGGATCTAGCACGTGTATATGCCGCAGAGATTGTTTCAGCAGTGTCTCACCTTCATGCAAATGGCATCATGCATAGGGATCTTAAACCGGAAAATATCCTGCTCGATGCAGATGGCCATGTATATTCTCTCTCTCTCTCTCTCTCTCTCTCAAACTATGCCAACTTGCATATATCTTCAACTTATACTTCATCTGATTCGAATTTAGGCCATGTTGACTGATTTTGGCCTGGCGAAGCAATTTGAAGAGAACAAAAGATCAAACTCCTTTTGTGGAACAGTAGAATATATGTCACCCGAAATTGTTCTTGGGAAGGGCCATGATAAGGCTGCAGACTGGTGGAGTGTTGGAATCCTACTGTTTGAGATGCTTAGTGGGAAGGTCAGCATTCGTAAATAGATTTATTCCCGTGTATTATATGCAAGCAGTTGTCTTTTGTATCTATTTTATTTTATTTGGTCCTCCATGTGGTGTTGGTCCTGGGCAATGGGCCTCGTCATTTACATGGTTATGCCCAAATTATTTATTATTTTGCTGGGTCTCTTACAGTATTGCTTTTGATTAAAGTTTTGATAGGTGGATTCATAATTTGAAATCCGTGTTTTGTGGCCTGACTAATAAGTACCTTGTCGAAGTTTGTAGACAAGTTTCTATAAGTTTACAGCAATTAAAATTGTGGTCCAAAATGAATGCACCAATAGAAGGGCGCACATTTATTTTAAATAAAAATAAAAAGAGCTTCTGCTGGTAATCTGGTTTAACAAATTTCATATTGTAGTGGGACTAGCATCCTTTCTTTCTTTTCTTGAGGTGGACAAACCTTGGAATCACCTTAAGAACCAGAGAGTGCTTAGGCATATTGATATCTCTTGAGCAGTTGAGTAAGGGTCAAACTTAGAACCACATAATATTATCTCATATTGGTCTTGTAGCAACATTTTTTCTAAAGATAACCGCAGTTTATTTCGTTTAGGAAAAAGCCATTTGCTGTTCCTAACGATCACTGTTTTGCTTTTTGCTTGTGCAGCCTCCTTTTATTGCTGGTGGGAATAGGGCAAAAATTCAGCAAAAGATAATAAAGGACAAAATTAAGCTGCCAGCATTTTTGACAAGTGAAGCACATTCTCTGTTGAAAGGGGTAACTCTTCATGTCCTTGACTTATGAATTTTTTCTATCCTTTAATCAGTGTGGGTAAATTCTGTGCTATTGGATGCCTGTTATGATTGCACAAACTTTTGCTCCCAACAGTTGAAATGAATGTTACTGGGAGCATTACTAGTGTCTGTGACACTTCAAAATTGGAGTTGAAGGCATCCAGTTTTAATAGATGTCTTACAGGATTGATTGGTGTCTTAAAATCAAAATAATGAACTTCCCATTGCCCAAGATAGGGTATTATTGTCCCCTGCATTTTTGTTTTCATTTCATTTGTTCATCAACCAACCATAAAACTTGTGAACTGTTTCTTACATTTCAGCTTCTACAAAAGGATCCATGCAAGCGCCTCGGCAGTGGGCCAACTGGGAGTGACGAAATTAAGCGACATAAATGGTTTAAGCCAATCAACTGGAAGAAATTGGAGGGCAGGGAAATCCAGCCAAGTTTTCGCCCCGAAGTTGCTGGACAACACTGTATTGCCAATTTTGATAAGCGATGGACTGATATGCCACTGTCAGATTCTCCAGTTTCCAGTCCAACAAGCAAAGAGAACCCCTTCCAGGGCTTTACTTACGTGAAGCCCGCAGCCTATTTTCTGTGGCAATAATAGTGCTTCTACATGCAAAGTTTTATAGAAGTCAATCGCTTTTCCTTCCTCTCAAGATGAGATGGTTTATTTAGCAACCCCTTTCTGGTTGATTTTAGATTTTTAATTATGGAGCGTCAACCATAGAAGCTGATCAACCTGATGAATTTTTATTGTGCAAATGAAACATGTTTTATTTAATGACTTCCAATATTGAGTTGGCACTTTAATTGTGGGTTTCTTTTAAGCAGCTGTGAGCTTATTGATTGAAATGTGGAATTTCTTGGGGATGTCTTGTCCCTATCTTAGTTGCTTCATTTTTCTTTCTTCAACCTCTACCGCCTAAAGTCACTGAAACTCGAACCGGTAATCACGAATGTCACTCTGTTATTTTACTAATGCACCAAGAAATTGCCATGATTTTAAATTAAAAACCAATCTACTGCTCTGGGCAAGTTGTGTGTGTGTGTGTGGTTTTTTATTTAATAACCTTGGCGAGGAAAATAAATCCGAATTCTTTATATTTTATAATTTTAAAAGGATCATATATCTATAATAGTGACCAAGCTTTTATTTAATTTTTTTTTTTTTTTCAGTTTTTTTTTGGGTACTGTAGAACAACTGCAAGTTTACCTGCTCGCTGGATTGCTGTTTTCTCTGTATCCACACATGCCCAACTCAATGGATAAACCTAGGATTGACACGTGGGAAAAGTCCAGCCTTTGCTGACAATTTTTACTTCATGAACACCACCACCACTCCCGCCATGATCTTCTCCTCCTTGAGGAGTAGTCATGGCGTCCCTGCTATCCCCAACTGCCATTTGCTTCTTTTCTTCAAGACCCACATCCCACAGCCCTCTCTGGTCCTTCACAAGCCGTTGCAAAAGACACCCAGTAAAGTGTAGCTCATTTTTTGATAACATTTCAGATAATCTCTTACAGGTGGACCAATCATTCTCTGTATTCCCCATTTTTCGATCTGGGTATGCCCAGTTTCAGAGAATTACCGAGGATTTACCAGAGACGGAGAAGTGGGGGATTTTGGTTTCTGCTGGAATTACTTGGATTTACTTAACTGCAAGACCAGGGGTACTTGTGGGTGCGATTGATACATATCTCCTTGCTCCTCTACAAATGGGGTTCGACAGTCTCACCGGGAAGAGGAGCTTGAAGATGACTGATTTTTTGATTGGGGATAGATTGGGAGAAGGGTCATTTGGGGTTGTTTATTACGGTGTGATTGTTCCGAAGAATGTGACTGTAGAAGAAAGAGTTCAGAAGAGAGGTAGAGGAAAAGCGCTTGCAATGGATGGGAAGTTTAAGGAGAAGGTTATTCTCAAAATGGTAAGTAGAGTAGTAATTATAACCCTACTGTTCTCTCATTCAGGATGTATCTTACACTTCTTACTTTGCTTGATTTCCTTGCTAAAAAGGTCATTTTCATTAGATGTGAATTCTGTTTGGCTTGTCATCACTCCATTTCCCACTTTAAATTTTTATCTTCATATTTGAAACATTATTGAGATTGATTCTAATGACTTTTCCCTTCTATGAACTTGATTTTACACACACACACACACTTTGCTTTCTTTAAAACACCTTGCTTTCATGAACCTATCAAGTAGAGTATTGGTTAGGAACCATTTCTATTTGTCAGCCGATATTGGTTAGCTTGCTCAATTATATATCTGCTTCAGGTTCTAATTAATGATCTGGAGACCAATTGTGTGGAAACAACACTAGTGACATGTTTTCGAATGGTTTACTTCATCGAGCATTTTGATTGATTTACATGTCATTCTTCATTTTCCTTGAAGCACGAGTTACTTTCTTTTTGATCCTTTAGCCTATGTCCCTCCTTTTTTCTGATATGTTATTGCTTAATTATATTTAATTTCCGATTGCTTAGGTAAAAGTTGGAGTCCAAGGTGCTGAAGAATGTGGTGATTTTGAGGAGTGGTTTAATTACAGGCTATCGAGGGCAGCTCCAGAGACATGTGCTGAGTTCCTTGGAAGTTTTACTGCTGACAAAACAAATTCACAATTTACAAAGGGTGGAAAATGCCTTGTCTGGAAATTTGAGGTGCTCAAACTATTTGCATGTTTTTGTTTTCTATGGTCAAAATGCATCAATTATTTCTATGGGGTGGACATAGTTGAAAAACCTAAGTAATTTGTATAAAATTATGGGCTGGGGCCTGTATCACAGTTGAGACTCATTCCGAACTTATCACTTAGTTGGAGTTTGGTTGAACAAATGAGACCTTAAAACCTTATATGATAGTATCATGTAACAAACTTGAAAATGTTGTTTGAGTGATGAATAAAACGCTAATCAACAAATCCATTGCCCAAACTATTTTGATGTGGCTACAAAATTGTATTTCACCATTTTATCCTGTCTAGAACTGTTGTTATATGTAGTGAATAAATCAGCTGTGAACTAAATACTTCATTGTCGCACACATTCCCATGTATTCAACCTTTTGTTGTAGCCATTGTTTAAATTGATGTGTTCTTACTAAATGCATGTCCAACTCTAGTAAAAGTTAGAAAAGGATCTATCTATTGGCTCTGACATTAATTATAGGAAACCACATGTGACAGGGAGATCGAGACCTTGGCAATTACATGAGAGATCGCAACTTCCCTTTGAACTTAGAATCTGTTATGTTTGGTCGTGTCTTACAAGGACTAGACTCTATTGAACGAAATGCATTAATCATCAAGCAAATAATGCGTCAGATTATTACTTCACTCAAGAAAATCCATGACACGGGAATTGTTCACCGTGATGTAAAGCCATCCAACTTAGTGGTGACAAAGAAGGGAAAGATCAAGCTCATTGATTTTGGGGCTGCCACAGACCTTCGGATTGGCAAAAATTTTGTACCGAACCGTGGCCTACTTGACCCTGACTATTGCCCCCCTGAACTATATGTACTCCCGGAGGAAACACCAAAGCCACCCCCAGAGCCAGTTGCTGCCTTTCTTTCTCCAATTTTATGGCAGGTATGGCACATCTCTACCCTTTTCTCTTTGTAGCTGAATCAATCAACTTTTGTGAATGTAATGTTGTAAATGATACATATATATATATAAAGAATATTAAATCTATCAAGTTGGGACTTGGGTGTACCTCATTTAATTTACAAATGGTTGGTTCTAGCTGAAGTCAGATATATGATTGAAAGAATCAACCAAATTTGCTATTTAGTAAAAACAGACTGGATTCAGATCTTTTCCGATACCTTGAGAAGACTATCCAACCTAGCTACTGCCATGCTGGAAATGCTTCAGCATGGAGCTTCTCAAGCTTCCTTTTCTAGGACATAGTAAATATTGTTCTTCAAAGTGCTAAAGTGATTTTTTGTTATTATTCTTGCAGTTAAATAGTCCTGATCTATTTGATATGTATTCTGCTGGGATAGTACTCATGCAAATGGCAATACCAAGCTTAAGGTCTACTGCAGGCTTAAAGAATTTCAATTTAGAAATAAAGGCAATTGGCTATGATCTAAAACAATGGAGGGATAGAACTCGGTCGAGGCCTGACTTCAGCATCCTTGATCTTGATTCGGGTAGAGGGTGGGATTTAGCCACAAAGCTCATTTCAGAGAGAGGTTTCCTTCGAAGGGGGCGTTTATCAGCTGCAGCTGCTCTGAGGCATCCGTACTTCTTGTTGGGTGGTGACCAAGCAGCCGCAGTTCTCTCAAAATTTAGCTTAACCAAGTAGTCAGATGCCCTGTAATGTGAGTAGGACATTTTTTTCACTCCCGGATTTATTTATTTATTTATTTCTTTTTTAATGCTCCTGTTGTTCCATTATGTATGGCAATGGAACAAATATACAATACCTCAATCAGCTTATTTATTATGATTTTTTTTTTTGATTGACCAAAGCAAGGCAATAGCATGAGAAGTGAATCATTTAATGATGTTGAATCTGGGTTAGAGATTTCATTATCCTGTATTGGATTTTCTGGTGCAATTCCTGCTAGCAACTTACTTTTAAGTCTTAACTCATGCTGCCATCCTGATTTTACTTGAGGGAACTAAATAATGTGCTTATATTATTTGCAGTTTGACATGAATCCGTTGGATCATTTGGATGTGGTAACAAAAGAAAAGAAGGTGGAAGGGGCACACAGATACAAATTTCTTGCTTCCCATATATTATATTTCAATTGACATCCTTGCACCAAGTAACCAGGTACTTTGACTACTAAATGTATGCAAGTAATACTATATACATAGTATATATTTGAGTACGGTTACAAGATCTCTTTTTTTGGGGCGGGGGGAGATTATTTTTTAGAGAATTCTCTGGATATATTTTTTCTTTTCTTTTCTATGGATAAATTCTGGATATCTTTTCTTTCCTTGTTTATTTCCAAAGATGAAAGAAAGTGCTGCTTCTACAACTTAGCAATGGAATTGGCTTTTCCAATTTCATCTCAGGATGTCACTGGAAACTTGGAATCAGTAGCATAATCAAATTATCAGAGTTGTCCACATAATGACAATACTGTGTTCTTGGGGCATAATCTTTGTAATAATCTTTGGGCTCTCCAATATCTATATAAAAAAAATTTCCAGCCAGGAATATTCTTTTGGTTCTGCTGCCTATTATCATGTTAAGTGATAGCTGCATCTTGACATTCTTGCCAGCATATTGGTTCCTATTATTATATCGTAGTGTAAAAACTAAATTACAAATTTTACACACTCGAAGAAAATATCAAGGGACTCTTTTATGAAAATTGCTGGTACAAAGTAATTTGCTTTCTAGTTAATACTAGTGATATCAGAACCATTAAGGTAAGGAAAATATAATCATAAAATGCTGTCAATCTCTGCAACAGAAAAGCTGAGTTGTAGTGAGCACTGAAACATCCAATTTTGCAACTGATCACCAGTCAATAATATTTACGAAAACATTTAGACTCAAGAATGAATTGTACTTGTACTATTCTACACCATGAACAAAATATAGTTTTCACAAGCTTTTCCTCTGGTGATTGAGATTCCATGGCAAGTTAACAGAGTTCTAGATTGGGAAAACACTGTTGAGTGGATGAAGGTTTGTTGTGTTGTAAGCCCCCAAGCTTTACCTCTTGGTGGAACCTAATGATCGATAACTGTTACAAAGATGAGACTATAAACTACCTTGTCATCTGAAATGGAAAAGTTTAAAGCAAACGCAGAGAATCTGTTGCAAGTTGTTGTAATTGTCTTGCCAGTTTTGGAGGCTACACTTTGTACAGATTAAATAACATCTTCGATATTCTCAAAACTACAACTGAAAGCAGGATGCCAATACCATGCACTGTCAAGGTGTAACAAAGGTCATTTCTCCAACATTGGAATCGGATGGAAAAGTGATTGGGTATAAATGGGTGGGTATGCAGCACTACTCAATAATTCGAGCTTTTGGGTAAATGGGCAAGCGTCCACCCGTTACAGTTGGTATCAGAGCCAGACCCAATCCTTGATCCGGTGTCACACCAAGCACCCGGCCTGGAAGGCGTCCGGGCTAGCATCCCGGGTAGGCAGGGTGGTCCGAACCGCAACGAGGGCGTTGCGAGTTTGGGTGGGGGAGAATGTAATAAGGGTCATTTGTCCCACATCGGAATTGGATGGGAAAGTAATTGGGTATAAATAGGTGGGTATGCAGCACTACCTAATAGTTCGAGCTTTTGGGTAAATGGACAAGCGCCCACCCGTTACAGCTGACAAATGACCTTTGTTACATTCTCTCCCACTCAAACTCGCAACGCCCTCATTGCGGTTCGGGCCACCTTGCCTACCCGGGATGCTAGCGCGGACGCCTTCCGGGTCGGGTGCTTGGCGTGACACCGGATTAAGGACTGGGTCTGGCTCTGATACCAACTGTAACGGGTGGGCGCTTGCCCATTTACCCAAAAGCTCGAACTATTGGGTAGTGCTGCATACCCACCCATTTATACCCAATCACTTTCCCATCCGATTCTGATGGAGGACAAATGACCTTTGTTACACAAGGCCACTAAGAAAGTCTGACACCACGCTCCTGGTTGCACGGATAGCGAGAGTCGAAGAAACATGAGCCTATTCATCATGCAATTCCAAGTCTGTCTAAATAATAACAGTATCATGGACCAAGTGACAATAATGAATCCATGAAGGTTTTTTCTCCCCCCGCTTTCTCTGAGCCCCCAAAGGAAAAGTGTAAAACAAGAGCTTGTGATGAAGAGTGATGAGAGGATGTGCATGATAACGTAGGAAGGAAAGGACTGGTTTTTCTTTACCTCTGTTCTCAGGGGATATGAGGGATAGTTTTATAACATTTGTGAGAGGGGTTGGTACCCTTTATGACAAAATTGGAGCTATTTCCTAGATAGCTATAGAGTTAACGATCTGCTTGAAATTTTGGAATTTATAGCATGGAAAGCCAAATATTTCCTTTGTAACTAACGGCTTTACAAATAATTTTTATGGAAATAATTTGAGTTTGACAGCATTGTCTTCTTTCACTTGACAGCTTTCAGAATGCTCGCTAAATTAGAAGAGAAGAAAATTTCAGAAAGGAGATTAAAATATATTTCCATAAGTCACTATTGGATTTCCGTGTGCACTAGGAATGGTTGAAAAGGGGGCATTAAAAACATAAACTTTAGATAAGATTTGGAATAAATTTCGCTAATAATTTTTTACGGATCTCTAGATGAGCGCGTCTCTTTCAGCAAGGAGATGAACGTGGTATATTTACTTTCTTAAATCTATTTCCGGGTGAATGAGAAATTAGCTGCGAAGTGTAGTATTTTGATAAGCCTAAATGGGTATGCAAAATGTGGGAAGTGTTTGTCCCACATGGAAAAAATATTGAAACTAATTGAAATTTAAATAAGCCAAATTTGGGCTTGGGCTTGGGCTTGGGCTTGGGCTTAGGCCTAATTGTAAAGTCCAATTATTCTTTTTACTAAATAAAATCTTAGAATGGGGGCTTATTTAAATGGGTGGTTAGTTTTTGAATTTAAATTAAAAGTTGGTTTTTTTTCCAAAGGGTTGCATCTATTTTTCAAAGAGTTGCATCTTTCTCTAAAGGGTTGCAACTCAAAACCAACAGACATAACTATTCATGTGAACCATTGCAACCTATTGGAGTGAATGTGTCTATTGGTGAACAGACACCATATGAACCATTGTAACCAATTGGAGTGGATGTGTCTTTTAGTGAACAGACACCATGTGAACTATTGCAACCAATTGGAGTGGATGTGTCCAGTGTGAAGAGACACATATAAATGGTTGTGTCCAATGATGAAAAGACACACCCAATCTGTAAAGGCACCTTACTTAAAAACTATTTTTTAGTTTTTTTCAAAGGGTTGCACCCGATCCAAAAAGGTACCTTGGTACTTATAAATACCCTCCTTTGAATCATTTGCAAATCATTCATTTTCATTTTCTTCTATCTCTTCTCTAGACTTGAACCCAACCCAAGTGGGTTCAAACCATAGGTTAAGTGGTCCAAGCCACTTAGACCTTAATCCAATTTTATCGAGCCATATTAAGATTAGTCCGAACTATTTGGTTCGGATTGCACCCAATTCAGTATTTATATAGTATAGATGCATTTTTGAGTCAGAGAGAGTATTACACGGAGGAGGTTCGCCGTATTCACAAGTTTGTAGTGCTGCTACTGGTGGATGTAAACCGTTGTATCCTGGGAGATACACGCCACTGAGTTCGTTAGCACCATAGCGGGACGAATCTGTCTTAAGGACATAGTACCCAATATTAGCCTCGGTCCAGGTTCTTTATTTATTATAATTATTTTATTACTTTATTTTGCATATTTAATTAATGATTTTTTAGCATATTGTTAATTGTCTCATGACATATTAGTATAAGATTTGTTATATCTTAAATGTCACATAAAACATATATTTACCAACAGAAATAAGAACTCAAATCACATAGATAGGCTTCCTCCTGCATTTCAGTGAGATGAGAAGTGTTCATTTACTGGAACAAGGAGAGCAGTGAGAAAATTAGAGGTACTACACATTACCTTCAACTTCAACTTTCGCAAGTAGCAACACCACTTGAATAGACAAATCTAAAGACTAGAATTTCAAAATATAAAGGTCAATCGCAATTACTGTGAAAACTATGCGATGAACAGCACTACCGCATCAAAGTAATTCATTGAATAAGAATTAGTAACTTCGATATCTCATTTCTCAATAGCTCTGCTTTCACAATCCACGTCGATATGCATACTTATGCAGATACAGAAACATATTTAATTATGGTAAAAGATGCAAACTTTTTTTACATTGTAACAAAACTTCTCTCTTTTATATTCATGTACAATTTTATAGTTCATCATGGTAGAGGAAATTTTCCGAAGCATGCTTCCTCTTGCAACTGCAACAGCATTTCCAAAAACACAAGGAGTTGAGAGTTTTAAGCCTTGTGGACTGAAGATATATGATGTTTGTAGATGAGTTTGAGGAACCTGGGATTGAGCTCTCCAATATATATTCAAATAAAAAAAATAAAAATAAAAAAAAAACAAAATAAAAACCAACCAGTAATAGGAACCAATATGCTTGCAAGAATGCCAAAGCCAAACACCTAGGATCTGTGCAAGTTTGATGTTAGTGTGCTGACTGTTTTGGAAGCTACACTTTCTACATATTAAACAACATCTTTGAGATTCTGAAAGCTACAATAACTGAAAGCAGGATGCCAATACCTTGGACTCTCAAGGCCACTAAGAAAAACTGCCACAGTTCTACTGGTTGCTGCACAGGTCTACATGCAGCTGGAAATGAGCCACTTGCAATGCTAAATCCAAATCTGAGATTCATGAGCCACACTTTCAGGCAAAGCCAAGTGTGTGTAACTGACAACCAATACAGTATCATGGACCAAGTGACAATAATGATCCCATGAACGTTATTTCTCCCCACCCTTTCTCTGAGCCCCCAAAGGAAAAGTGAAAAACCAGCGAAGATGTGCATGATATGAGTTGTAGGAAATGATTGGATACTTCTTTACCTCTGTTAACAGGGAATATGAGTGATGGTGCTATAGCATTTGTGTGAGAGGTTGGTACTTTTTATGACAAAATTGGAGCTATTTCCAAGCTAGCTATAGATTTTAATGATCTGCTTGAAGTTTTGGAAGTTATAGCATGCAAGGCCATATATTTCCTTTGTAACTAACGACTAAATTTAAAATTACTTATGAGTTTGACAACATTGTCTTCTTTCACTTGACAGCAATTACTTATGAGTTTGACAACTTGTCTTCTTTCACTTGACAGCTTTCAGAATGTTATTGATTATCACTAAATTAATAGATAAGAAAATTTCAGAAACAAGATTAAAATACATGTAGAATAAGATTCCCTATTGGATTTCCATATGCACTAGCCAATATCACTACTACCTAAACCTTTGAGTCTGAATTCAACCTAATTGCCATAGCAGCAAGAATATGTGGTGGCAAAAATGGTTATAAGCAAAGCTACAACAATTTTAAGCATCTGCCAAGAATTGCTCACGGTTGAAAGATGGATTGCATGGCCAATGAAAAAGACCACATTAGTTCTAATATGGTATCTAATTCCCCTGAACACTTCCGAGTACAAATCTAAAATGCATAGACAAATCTGAAGACTAGCATATCAAAATATAATGGTCAATTGCAATTATTGTGATAACTACGCAATCAACAGCACTACCTCATCAAAATAATCCATTGAATAAGCATTAGTAACTTAGGTATTTCATTTCTCAATAGCTTTGCTTATACAATCCACATCAATATGCTTACTTGCGCAGATACATAAACATATTAATTATGGTAACAGATTCAAACCCTTTTTATATTGTAACAAGACTTCTCTTTTTTATATTTATGTACAATTTTAAAGTTCATCATGGTAGAGTAAATTTCCCCAAGGATGCTTCTTCTTGCAACCCCAACGACATTTCCATGAACACAAGGAGTTGAAAATATTAAGCCTTGAGGAGTGACGAGATACGATGTTTGATGTTGAAGGAGACTTAGAAAGGATAATTGCATACCCATCATCCATGTAGTCTGTTCCGTCAGGAAACAGCTGCCACAGAAGGCTTCCACCCCCACTTCCCCCTTTCTTTGTAGAATTCAAGAGTGCCGTATACACTGTGTTAATGAGGGTGTCCCTGAAAGAGGAATTGTAGCCAGGGTCTTTTGAAGATACCCCAAACTCAGCAAACACGACCGGCATGTTAAGGACAATCTCAGCATCTTCAATGTGTGCTTGCATCCATGACTTGATGAATTGGATATGAGCATCAGATATTGATTGAGAAACCCTTCATCAGAAAGAGTTTCATATGCTAATCAGGAGCCGCCACACCCATTTTTCGAAGAAAGATTAAATAAAGATGGATATATAATGTATATCAATATTTGAACTAAAGTATAGTCATGCCCAGAAAGAGGTGTATTTATGCTCTTAGCCTTCCACCCAAAATTTGAACACATACACAAAGGCATCAGAAGTATTAACTACTGATATTGTTTCTAATTACAAAATTACATTTTCATTTTTGTAAGGTAACTCTTCAATGCAGTAATCACTTACCAAGAGTCTGCATAAATGTGAACGGAAGCAAAATCAACCCCAAGAATCTGATGGTTCCTGATAAAGTCAGTTCCAACTTGTTGAGCATATGTATTTGGATTGAATTGAACCCTATTAAGTGTTGAGGGACCATAAAATCCTTCCAATCCAATCTCCACCAAGTGTTTTGGGTCGATGCTCTTCACATAGACTGCCATTTCTTCTATCCATGCCTATAAACATAAATTACATGTGGCAATGATAGACAGAATACATTTCTCAAATACTACAGCATGACAGTACAAGAGCAAGATATGTAGTTTCCATACTGTGTTGAAGCTAAATTTCTGTTACAAATGTAGCTAAGTTCATCCAACCAATCTACCAAAATAAGTATATTTAACCAAGGTCTGGGCTTCATTTTCTATATATCTGGAACTTCATGCAAAAAAAATCTCACTGTGAAGAAAACAAACCTGCAGTTTATCTCCTGTGGGATCTGAGGTACAGCGGGGCTCATTCATTAGTTCCCAAGCAAAAATTGTAGGATCATCCTTGTAAGTAATGTTGGTGAGTGTATTGACTCTATTAAGCACCGTCTACATAGTAAGAATTTTGAGACAAAAGTGGCATTAGATAACATTGGAAATAGAGGCTTTAATGTTCTAGTAATAAGTTTCAAAAACAAAAGATGATTCTTTTACAGAATTAAGGAACTTACATTAACATGGGCTTTGTAATAGCTTCTGAGACTCGGATGAGAGAAAAAGTCATCGTCAGAAGTCAAATTCAGGCCTGCAGCTTTGCCCCATTTAACATATTGTGGTTTGCCACCATAAGCATCCCAGTTGTTAACTAATGACAATATAAGTCTGATCTTGTACTTCTTTGCTTCACTCACAACAAAATCCAAGGCCTATAACACAGAATGGGAAATTGAGATATATGGTGAATGATGATACACATCATTCAAAAAACTTTAAATATATATAAGCAAAGAAGCAAGATGCTAGGCTAGCAAATTCTAAGAACAATAAACATTTTTTACTAGGCAATTGTGTTTTAACTTATGTAACTCCAAGCAAATTACTGCTAAAGTGAATTCATGAATAAGTTTGTACTGTATTTGTTTAATGAGAAAGTGGAATCGGCAACTTTGAAGGCTAAATAAGAAAGTGTGATGAAATTTCAGCCCAACTACCGGATTTTATCTTCTCACTCAAGAGAAGCATCTAAAATAAAAGCTATATTACTAATAAGTCAATCAATTTTATGGCACATTGTTGAAATGAAAGAATAAAGAGATACATATAATTTACAGGTGTAAAAATTGAGACACATCAAAAAGAGCACCTTGAAAACCTCTTCATCATAAATGGATGGTGATTTCTGAAGAGCTCGCCATTGACCATCATTGAAAGCCCAAGTTCGACATACCGTTAAACCCACAGCAGATGCCTCTTGAAACACCTCACTAACCTTTCCTCTTGTTGATTGGTCTGCTGCAAATACCATCAGCCAGTAAGTGTTAAATCCATTCATATAAAAAGGTTGGCCCTTAACCACAAATTGGTTCCCCTTTTTCTGCACCATTGTCCATGTATCATCTTCCAAGTCATCAAACTCATACATCCTGCACATTGGGGGAAAAAATGATATATAAATATAAAAAATATATTATGAGTATTTAAAGCTAGGATGAAAAATAAAAAATAAAAAATTATGGGTACCCATGATTTGAGCTAGAATATGGTAAATGAGTCCCTTCACCCTCCACCATTAACTCTAAATTCTCATCTCCACTGACCTCAAGAACAGAGGAGCTCGAAATTTTAGCAAAAATCACAATAATGGCCACCAAATAAATGATTTTAAATTCAAATTTTTGCTCATGGGTATCCATATTTTGAGTTAGTAGCCACATTCCAATTTGTTTTCTTTCACAACAAATATATATATATATATTAGAATGTCTGAGGTTTCAGTTATGATAGCAACAATACAGTGATATACAAGAGAAGTGTCGAAGAGGAAACCATGTCTCTACCTTTGAAGCAAAGAAAATTTGATTTCTTATCTCTGCACTGTTTCCTCTTTCAGACACAGATTAACAAATGAAAAAAGGAATGGAAAATTGATTGCCATTAAGTTTTCTATTTCTCTTTCCTTTTTATCCCATATAATTAAGCAGACTGTCTAATTGGAGGTCATAGGAAAAGAAACTCCACTAAGCAATTTCTGCAATTCAATAAATTCCTATATTGGAAGCTCATTTTCAGCTCTAGTTCAAATGTCCTAATCACTCCATTTTGGAGCAGTTTTTACTTATAGCCATGTAATTATTAGCAACAAATAATATTATCTATCCGTCTATGCTGGACCTTGACTTTAAAGCATAACATGATATATATATTATATATAAAGATATATATCTATACAGAGAGAGAAATCATGGCAACCATAATTTCTGGAACTGGGATTTAGAAAGAGCAAAACCATGAATAATGGTTTAATACTATTAAACTTTTTTGAGTTTTTATCCATCCCCATATTCCCAAAACGAAAATTGCAAACCTTTATTTCAAATACAATTTGGGTGTGTGTGTGTATATAAAGAAATTCATCGAATGAACAAAAACTAAATAATTATATGGAAAGTGACCGTGGTGTCTTAAGCCGGGAGGAAGTGAGCAAGCTAATCACCAACAACTCACCCAAGCGAATCGAATGTCCCATCCCCTTCCATTTTCTGCTTAGACCAATATTTTTTTAGAGTTGGAGAGAGATGGAAGCGAAAAGGGAAAAGGGAAAAGGGAAAGGGAAAGGGAAAGGGGAAAAATAAAAATAAAGTTTACAGAGGGTAAAAAACAGAAGAAGTATAAACACATATCAACACAAATAAAAATTTGAAGGAAAAAGAAAGAAATTTGAGAGTTTTGTAGGAATACAAATTAAAGTTACATGCTCTCAGAAATAAGAAGAAATGACAGAAAAAGGAGTGCAAAGTTTAATGAATTTTTTAATATCAAATTTGTCCTATTTTTATTCTTTTTAACTCTTTTCATTCATCATCACATTGGCTTGGATGATCTTTAGCACAATTTTTATATTTTATTACCTCTCCTTATCTATATATTACTCTTTTACGTTTGAAATGATACAGTACTAAATTTAGTCAAATAATTTCTTTTTCTTTTTCTTTCTCTAAATATAATTAACATGCTAAGACTATCATTCCTTTTTTTTTTTTTTTTCTTTTTCACTTTTTTTTCCCCTTTTATCTCTTTCTTTTCTCTAGTGCCATACATAAAGTATTTTGCGAGTCAGATCCAACGACAAGCCCACAACATAATTATCATACTGGAAAAGCGAGGGCTTTTGTTGGGCCAGGCCCCGTGGTAAGGGTCCTTATTGAGTTGCAAAGCGTTCGTGTTCGATTCCCACCCCCATCATCCCCCTCCCAGGCCTCCCTTCTAATTTAACTCCCTAACCCATCTAATCATTGTCAGGACAAAATATATATATATATATATTTTCAGACATATAAATTGATTGTGTTTTGTACCTGATGTGGCAGCTATTGAATCAAATTGATAAGATTTTTAGGCTATGTTTGGTACATAAAAAAGAAATGAAAATATAACAATAATTATAAGAGCAAAGAAAAAAAAATTGAGAGTATAATATTATTCACTCATACAGTGGATGATACATTTATCATCAATAATAATAAAGTTTTGGAAGAAAAGAAATGAAACTATACTAATGAATTTTACTATTGCACAATTTTTTATAAATTTTTTTTGCTTTTTTAAAAATAAGAGTAAATTAGTATTAGTATTAATAAAGTTTTATTAAAAATACTAGCATTTCCTTTCATTCCAATTTTAAAAAGATAATGTTTGGCATACGATATGTTTTAGGCATTATATTTTTTGCCATTACCCAAATAACTGTTTTGTTATAGGAGTGTTTTGAGTAAAAATTCAAACCATATTTGGTAACAAAATTTTTTTTTTTTTTTAGAAAATTCAAAAACTTGTTTTACTTCTTCCATTACAATACCAAAACACACAATATCATCAATTTGGTAATATGATTTATGAGTTTTGGCCAAAAAAATTTATATGTTATGAATTATTCCAAAACTATTCCAAATCAATATCAGGCCTCCCAAATATGATGTTGGTCCAAATTTAAATACAATATCATAAAAATAATATCATAATACTTTCCAAACATACCCTTAATGTAATCAACCAAATCATTCTATTCCCTTTATTTTCCTTTCCAAAATGTTATATTAAATTCAAAAAATTCTAACATTCTTTCAATTGCAACAAAAATCAATTCGTGTTTGTATCATTATTCATATATATCTACCGTGATTATTGTTACAGGATGATAAAGTACTTTGTAAATTGTCACATATAACACTAGTACAGTGGTAAAGAATGAGTTGCGAATCAAATATCTAGAGCCTTACTTTCACCAATGTGTTACTCCTTTCATTTCACAGTTATCAAATTGGACTATTAATTGTAGACGTAAGGAGTACTTACATATGTGTGAGAATTTTAACTGAACTTTTTTTAATTTTAAATTTAAATTATTGATTGAGTACTTCTAAACACATAGACGGAGTCAGATATTAAATTCAAGGGGGCACAATGTGAAATTTATTTATTTTATTAAACATGACAACAAATATAGATTCTTTAAATAAATAGGCATAGAAGAAAAAATTATTGCAAAATATTAAGTCAATCAATCAGAAATAAAAAAAAAAGAAATAGTTAGATAAAAATTAAAAAAAGGAAAGAAAAATGAGAGAATCTTAAAAGGAAAAAATAATAGAGTTTTATTCAAAAAATATATATATATATATATATAAAAACTTTTTGGTAAGGGAATTAAATAAATTTAAAGAGTAAAAGAGAAAATAAGTAGAAATTTAAAGAGATAATTTTAGAAAATAAAAATTTTAAGGGAACATTATATGTATTTATATAAATATATAAATTTAATATGTACTTTTTTGTGCTGAAAAGAATGTTACGGTCCTTTAAATAGAATATTTATTTTAAGACAGAAATAATATATTATAATAGACAGGATCCGGGACATGTGCCCCATACACTGTCACCGCCCATCCCCAGACATAAGATTAGTCGTATTAAAAAATTGACTCATTGCTTTATATTTTCTAAGAGGTTATGTGTATCTAGAGCAAGTGCGGAGTGGCGAGGCTGATCTCACCGTCTGGTTGGATTTAAAGTCCTCTCCACAGACGCGTCCAACGGCAGTTGTGTTTTGTTAAATGCCAGCTCCAATGGCACCAAATACTAATGGGTCCCACCTAACGTGACCAGGCCAAGGTGCACCTAGGTGGGTCCATTCACCTAAATAACCCAAACCAGTGAGGACTCCAACCCCAAAGCAACTCACTCAGCACATAACTTTTCAAAAAAAAACCAAACTCGCTCGGCACATCAATGTGTGCATGTAGTATAAATAGATAGAGAGAGAAAGAGAAGGACGCACGCGTTTGCCAAAATTATCCTCCCACTTGGAACGCGCTTTCGTCGTGCGATGATCAGCTGTCAGCACTCATCTAGGTATGGATCACCCACCGCAGAAAATGGCAAGATTAGCAAATCCATTACCAGAACAAGGATATTTCTGTCATTCAAATCGATACTAATTGACTGTTAGCATTAAGTATTTATTAAAGAAGGTTACTATTTATTAATTAAAGTCTCACTCCTTATTACAAAACCATCAAACGACTTCCTAATCTCACTGCTCTCTCTCTCTCTCCTCTCTCTCCCTTCTTGCGGCATGTCGCCGAATTTCAAACCCTAGTCTCTTTCTCTTCTCTCTCTAGCAATCTGTTCGATCTGATATTTTGTGCTGATTCAAAGGTATCATTTTGATTTCGTAGAGTTATCGTCAGTCCAAAAATGGCTTGAAGTTTCTTCAATTGGATCTATCTCTCTGTTGTTTTGAAGGTAATTTTATCTACTGCATTTTCTACTCATAGTTTCAAGTTGATTTTTTTTACTTTATAGTGTTTGATTTCAGTGCTAGTTCGTCTAGTGGATCTGGAAACTTCATTTCCTTTTTGACTCAAACCCTCATCTTTCTTTTATGAAACTGTTGTTTTTTTATGAGAAAGTGGAGTTTTTAGCTGATATATTTTAGATTATACCCTAATTCATCTCTCGTAGGAGCCTCAGATCTTGTGCTTGATTGTTGCTAGAATAGTTGTGATAGACACCTGTTGTTTCAGTCGATATTCTGATTGAATTTCAGTTAAAGTCTTGACGTTCTCTTTACCCATATGCATTTATAGCGTTTTTCTTAAGCGTTTGATTTTGGTTTTAGGTCGCTGAAATTGTTACATTTTTGCTGACATTATTGGCGTATTTTCCATGAGGAACACCGACTCTAAGTATCATCCAGAGTGGATTTCTCTTTTGCTTTTCTTGGCCTTTGTGATTCATGTAATCTCAGCTGCCGATTATGTACCAACCGATAAAATTCTCCTAAACTGTGGGGCATCCCCGGAAACTACTGATGCTGATGGTAGGAAATGGACCTCAGATATCGGCTCAAAGATTGCACCAGCAGGTGGGAATTCGTTGACATCCCCTGCTGCTACTCAAGACCCTTCTGTTCCTGAGGTCCCTTACATGACCGCTCGGATTTTCCGATCTGAGTTCACCTATAGCTTTCCTGTAGCTTCTGGTCGTAAATTTGTACGGCTGTATTTTTATCCCGCTTCTTATGCGGGGCTAAATGCTGCCAATGCTCTTTTCTCTGTCACTGCTGGCTCATATACCCTTCTGAAGAACTTCAGTGTAGCACAAACAACTGAAGCTCTTAACTATGCTTTTATTCTTAAGGAGTATTCTGTCAATGTCCCATCCGAGACATTGAACATAACCTTCAAACCTTCATCCAATATTAACAATTCCTATGCCTTTGTAAACGGAATTGAGGTTGTGTCAATGCCTGATATATATAATACAGAGGATGGATCATCCTTGGTTGTTGGTCAAGGTTCTCCATTCCCCATTGGCAACAGTACTGCTCTTGAAAATGTGTATCGTTTAAATGTGGGTGGAAATAGCATTTCGCCCACTGGTGATACTGGTTTGTTTAGGTCTTGGTATGATGATTCTCCATATATATTTGGGGCAGCATTAGGGGTTACAGTGGCTACCGACGCAAATGTGACTATCAAGTACCCCTCAGGCATGCCTACTTATGTTGCACCAGTTGATGTCTATGCCACTGCTAGAACGATGGGCCCTGATCCGAACATCAATAAAAACTACAATTTGACTTGGATCTTCGCAGTCGACTCAGGTTTCTCTTACCTGGTTAGGCTCCATTTCTGTGAGGTTTTCCAAAATGTATCCCAGCTTAATTTAAGAGTGTTTGACATATTCCTTAATAATCAAACTGCAATTGAGGGGGCAGATGTGGTTGCTTGGGGGGGCAGCAGTGAAGTTCCAGTTTATAAGGATTATATTGTGCTGGTTCCTGGTGGGCCTCCTCAACAGGATCTTTGGCTCGCTCTGCATCCAGACGATGCCTCAAGGCCCTTTTATTATGATGCGATACTGAATGGAGTGGAGATATTCAAAATTAGCGATGCTTCTGGAAATCTCGCGGGTCCAAATCCAATCCCAGCTCCAAAACAGGATGTTATTGACCCATCATTAGCTAAACCGTCCTCCTCTTCAGGTCAATCAAAGAATCAAAAAGCTATTATTGGCGGAGGTGTTGGTGGTGGTGTTGCTGCAATCCTTCTTGTTGGTTTGTGTGTTTGTGCTGTTTTCCGTCACCGTAGGCGGGGGAAAGACTCAAGTGCTAGCGATGGGTGGCTACCTCTTTCTCTATATGGAAATTCACACTCTGCAGGCTCTGCAAAGACAAATACCACAGGAAGCTATGCTTCCTCTCTCCCTTCAAATCTTTGCCGCCATTTTTCATTTGCTGAGATCAAGGCTGCCACCAATAACTTCGATGAGGCTCTCCTACTTGGTGTAGGAGGTTTTGGCAAAGTTTACAAGGGAGAAATTGATGGTGCAACAACTAAGGTGGCAATTAAGCGAGGGAACCCCCTTTCTGAGCAAGGTGTGCATGAATTTCAAACTGAGATCGAGATGCTTTCAAAACTTAGACACCGTCACCTTGTTTCACTGATTGGTTATTGTGAAGAGAACTGTGAGATGATCCTTGTCTACGATTATATGGCCCATGGAACCCTTCGTGAGCATCTATACAAGACCCAAAAGCCACCTCTTCCATGGAAGCAGAGGCTCGAGATATGCATTGGTGCTGCTCGTGGTTTACACTATCTCCACACTGGTGCAAAGCACACTATTATCCATCGTGATGTTAAGACAACCAACATCCTCTTGGATGAAAAATGGGTGGCAAAGGTTTCTGATTTTGGGTTGTCGAAAACAGGTCCTACATTGGATCACACTCATGTTAGCACTGTTGTGAAGGGTAGTTTCGGTTACTTGGATCCAGAGTACTTCAGGCGGCAGCAACTGACAGAAAAATCTGATGTTTACTCATTTGGAGTTGTACTTTTTGAGATCCTATGTGCTCGGCCAGCTTTGAACCCAACACTTCCAAAGGAACAAGTAAGCTTGGCTGAGTGGGCGTTGCATTGCCAGAAGAAGGGCATTCTTGATCAGATTATTGACCCGTATCTGAAGGGGAAGATTGCGCCAGAGTGCCTCAAAAAGGTTGCTGAAACAGCAATGAAATGTGTGTCGGATCAGGGGATTGAGAGGCCGTCAATGGGTGATGTGCTGTGGAACCTTGAGTTTGCTCTGCAGCTTCAAGAGAGTGCAGAGGAGAATGGGAAGGGTCTCGGAGGTGTGGACATCGAAGAGGGCTCATTTGATGTAGCCTGTAAAGGAAAGAAGGATCCAAACACATCCCCAGGTTTTGATGGCATCGTCACGGATTCAAGGAGCAGTGGGATGTCGATGAGCATAGGTGGGCGGAGCTTAGCTAGTGAAGATTCAGATGGGTTGACGCCAAGCGCAGTGTTCTCACAGATCATGAACCCGAAAGGACGTTGAGATCAGTTGATAGCAAAAGCCTGTGGTTGCTGATTTTCATCGCGGTAATGTACCTTCCATTGTTGGTTAAACACAGAAGTTAAAATTTTATGTCCCTGTTGTTATCTTATTCATTTACTTAATATTTAATGTTTTGGGCAAATTCACCTGTAAGTTGTATCTGCAATTAGTCTGAGTGTGAAAATAATTTGTTTTAATTCCTAATCTTAATTTGTTGAAATTCCTAATGTTACCGGGTGATAGATTGGTATGGCTTTCATTATTACAAGCTTTTCTTTATCAGTATAGGAAAAACCAACCGTCCATAGACTAAAATGATTGAGAAGAACAAATAATTATATAGGGACAATAATGCTAGTGTATGGTTTACCACGAAATCCGTCTGACATGTGGCTTGGGCTGACAATGTGGCTTACCTACATCCAATTCTTATTAATTTATTCATTCACATTTAATTTTTTTATTGATTGAGACAGCCGTCTTACTTTAAAGAAAATGTTTTGTTTAATTAACAATAATTGGCAGGAATAATATCTAAATCAGCTGGCAATGGGTGTGGAAAGAGTTTAGTTGCTTTGATTGCGCGGTTGGTTTGGTTTGGTTTGGTTTGACTAGGTTTGAGAGAGAGAGAGAGAGAGAGAGAGAGAAGCTACATTGTAATAACAGTAGGGAAAATATAAAATAGATTTCTAGAGAGAGAGAGAGTTAGACCCATGATACCATCGCAATAGTTGAGAAAAATAGAACAGAGCATTAAGGAGATTCTTTTAGCTTGTTTGGATGATTTTGAGAAGAGAAATGGATAGAGTAGAGAAATCGAGAGATGGCTTTTGAAATAGTCTTTACCAATAATACAAGTTTATATATATATTTATACTATTATTAAATATGCAAAGTGTGCAAAGTGTTTCAATATCTCAGTATTTATTTATTAATTGATATAAATTTCATAAAACTCAAAATTACCTAATAAAATTAAAATTAATTCAAATTAACAAAATATAAAAAAAGTTTAATTCAAATTATAAAGTCTCACATTGGTTTTAAGTAAAAATGATTACATGAAAATCTCTTATAAAATTATAGAACTAAAGAAATAATAATCATACCTTCTTGGCCTTTTGGCTAACCTTTCTTGGTCTTTTGGCTAATATCAAGTGTAGTACTATTTTTTCGGTCTTTGTGCAAAGAGTTTCAGTATTTATTTATTAATTTATATAAATTCTATAAAATTCAAAATTATCTAATAAAATTCAAATTAAGAAAATATAAAAGAGTTTAATTCACAATAAAGAGCCCTCATTAATTATTATATCCCACGATATAAATTCTATATCTATATCTATACTATTATTAAATGTGCAAAGTATTTCAGTATTTATTTATTAATTGATATAAATTCTATAAAACTCAAAATTACCTAATAAAATTAAAACTAATTCAAATTAACAAAATATAAAAAGAGTTTAATTCGAATTATAAAGTCCCACATTAGTTTTAAGTAAAAAGGATCACATGAAAGTCTATTATAAAACTATAGAGTTAAAGAATAATAATCACACATTCTCGGCCTTTTACTTAAGATCATCAAGTGTAGTATTAAATTTTTTTGGATTTGCCTTTTGGCTAACCTTTCTTGGCCTTTTGGCTAAGATCAAGTGTACTACTACTTTCTCGGCCTTTGTGCAAAGAGTTTCGGTATTTATTTATTAATTGATATAAATTCTATAAAACTCAAAATTATTTGATAAAATTCAAATTAACAAAATATAAAAGAGTTTAATTCACAATAAATAGTTCTCATTAATTATTATATCGGGATAATTTCACTTACCTCCCCTGAGGTTAAGCGTAATTACAGGAGGTACCCCTAACGTTTCAAATATTACCGTAACCTCCCTCTGATGTGACTGAGGTCAGTTCCGATAGAAACTCAATGTTAAATGACTAAACTACCCTCTATTATTAAATTAATTTCATTAATTAAAAAAACCTTTAACAAAGTACCCATTCTACCCCTACTTGAAAAAAATGGTGAAAAAAAAAAAAAAAAAAAAAAAAAAAAAACGAACCAGGAACAAAATTTTCATTTTTCCCAAACCTGATCCCATCCATATGAGCCTTCAATCTAAGACCTGAACAACACAATTGTTGAATCCATTAGTCTGCTTACTTATTTATCTGTACTCTGAAACCCCAACACTTCCTCCATTTTCGTCACGACAGACCACCTCTGCACCACCATAGCCACTACCGATACCATCACATCTCACCTCATACATTTCTATCACCATAAAAAGCATATATAGTTTTATACATATATGGTAAGTGTGTGTGTGTGTGTGTGTGTGTGTGTGTGTGTGTGTGTATATATGCAATCTCAACAAAGGGAATCGGATTTAGACGAGCAGAGATTACGGTGGTGCAAGTAACAACATTCCGATGAAGCATTTCATCAAACAACACATGTTCGTCATTCGAGAGTTAGACAAACATAAGATTGAATAACAGAACTAAAAAATCAAGCTTGTCGCAGTCCTCACCAACAAGTTACCCCCGCCACTGGTTCAACGATAGCGTCCACTGATGGTCGGTATCGCTGTTGAGATCATGCATCGCCGCCGCCGTTTCAGTTCTCTTCATCACCGGATCAGAGGTGTCTTGCGTTACCGGGCTCACTCTCTCTTTCTACATCCATTATGCTCACTGACCGTAGATCAGTCCTCCATTGCCGCCGCCGTTTCGTTCCTCGCTGCTTGCTCGCCGTCGAGACCTCACGCCGGTAAGCATCGGTAAGTCGTTTCGTCCTTTTTGTTTGCCATTAAAACCTCGCCGCCGCCGCGTCACTGACGTCCTTGCTCCCCGTCAACTGAGCACATCGTTGCTCATCGCCGGTGGGTTATTCATAGCTCGCTAACTTGGGTGATTATCCCATCAGCGACGGTCCAGACATGGATTCAAGAGATTAAACGACCGTGATTGCAGCACTCGACGAAGACCGTTGATCTGAAATTGGCGATGGAGAGGGGAGTGAATTCCAAGCAGTCTTTCGGCGAGGTAGTGCGGGTGATCAAGCGCACCATACACTAGAGGGACGATGGACCATGGAACCACCATTCAAGGTCGGTCAGAGTTTAGAGAGAGAAAGAGAGGAATCAGAGAGAGTACAACTTTTTTCCCCTTATTATTAGGTTAATTCGTAATTTTCATTTAAAAATGAGGGTATAAATGTCTTTGCAATCTTTGTAAGGGTAAATGTGATATTTCACCTTTAAAAAGGATGATATCAGCAAAAAACGATCCTTGACCGGCGTTGACTGCCACCAGAAGGGGCAAAGTGTTATGCCGGAGTAAACCTTGAGGGAGGTTATTATAATATTTGAAACGTTAGGGGTACCGCCTGTAATTACGCCTAACATCAGGGGAGGTAAGTGAAATTATCCCTTATTATATCCCACGATATAAATTCTATAAAATTCAAACTTACCTAATAAAATTAAAATTAATAAAATAAGTATTTATTTATTAATTGATATAAATTCTATAAAACTCAAAATTACCTAATAAAATTAAAATTAATTCAAATTAACAAAATATAAAAAGAGTTTAATTCAAATTACAAAGTCCCACATTGGTTTTAAGTAAAAATGATTAAATGAAAGCCTCTTATAAAAGTTTCAGTGTTTCAATATTTCAGTATTTATTTATTAATTGATATAAATTCTATAAAACTCAAAATTACCGAATAAAATTAAAATTAATTCAAATTAACAAAATATAAAAAGAGTTTAATTCAAATTACAAAGTCCCACATTGGTTTTAAGTAAAAATGATTACATGAAAGTCTCTTATAAAACTATAATAAAGAAATAATAATCACAATTTTTCGGCCTTTTAGCTAAGATCAAGTGTAGTACTAAATTTTTTTGGGTCGGCCCTTTGGCTAACATTTCTTGGTTTTTTGGTTAAGATCAAGTGTAGTATTACTTTCTCTGCTTTTGTGTAAAGAGTTACAGTATTTATTTATTAATTGATATAAATTCTATAAAACTCAAAATTAATATAAAAGAGTTTAATTCACAATAAAGAGCTCTCATTAATTATTATATCCCACGATAAAAATTCTATCAAACTCAAAATTACCTAATAAAATTAAAATTAATTCAAATTAACAAAATATAAAAAAAGTTTAATTCAAATTACAAAGTCCTGCATTGGTTTTAAGTAAAAAAGATTATATGAAAGTCTCTTATAAAACTATTGAGCTGAGGAAATAATAATCACACCTTCTCAGCCTTTTGGTTAAGATCAAGTGTAGTACTAAATTTTTTTGGGTCGGCCTTTTGGCTAACATTTCTTGGTCTTTTGGCTAAGATCAAGTGTAGTATTACTTTCTCGGCCTTTGTGCAAATAGTTTCAGTATTTATTTATTAATTGATATAAATTCTATAAAACTCAAAATTACTTAATAAAATTCAAATTAATTCAAATTAACAAAATATAAAAGAGTTTAATTCACAAAAAAGAGCTCTCATTAATTATTATATTCCACGATATAAATTCTATAAAACTCAAAATTATCTAATAAAATTAAAATTAATTCAAATTAACAAAATAAGTATTTATTTATTAATTGATATAAATTCTATAAAACTCAAAATTACCTAATAAAATTAAAATTAATTCAAATTAACAAAATATAAAAAGAGTTTAATTCAAATTACAAAGTCCCACATTGGTTTTAAGCAAAAAGGATTACATGAAAGCCTCTTAGAAAACTATAGAGTTAAAGAAATAATAAACACACTTTCTCGGCCTTTTGGCTAAGATCAAGTGTAGTACTAAATTTTTTTTAGGTCAGTCTTTTGGCTAACCTTTCTTGATTTTTGGCTAAAATCAAGTGTAGTACTACTTTCTCGGCTTTTGTGTAAAGAGTTTCAATATTTATTTATTAATTGAAAAAAAATTTATAAAACTCAAAATTAATATAAAAGAGTTTAATTCACAATAAAGAGGTCTCATTAATTATTATATCCCAAGATAAAAATTCTATAAAACTCAAAATTACCTAATAAAATTAAAATTAATTCAAATTAACAAAATATAAAAAGAGTTTAATTCAAATTACAAAGTCCCACATTAGTTTTAAGTAAAAAGGATTACATGAAAACTTCTTATATAACTAGAGAGCTAAAGAAATAATAATTACACATTCCTGACCTTTTGG